CCCCCCCCCCCGCCCAGAGGAAGACCCCTCTCTCTCTACCCCCTTTCCTTTCAGTAAAAAGGACAAGGACTATAATCTAACGAGGGGACTAATACGATTAGAGACGTGGCTAACCCTCAAATCTGCCTTGTTGAAATACAAATGCTCTGGTCCTTCCCCGAAAACGGACTCAATTTCAAGTCAATTCAAAACACCTCTCTGGATGGTGATCCTGGCCCTTGTCTAGGCTTGGCTCAGGTGGCCTTCAGAAGTCCTTCCCTTCCTCATGAAGGACTGTCCGGTGTTAGTCTCTTGACCAGGGCGGGTGAAGGCCTCACTTACCTCTCTTCAGACGCTCCATGGCGCTCTTGCTACCAGCATAGGTTGGCCGGATCTCTTTGCCCATCTCCTCTATGACCGACAGCAGGTCCGTGTAGGTGCTCTGGGAGCCCTGGGCGCCCGGTGGCTTCATTGCCTGTGTCAAAAGAGGACAGGGCGATGAACTCAGGCCCCGAGGGGACCTCCAGTCCCCATCCAGAGGCAGTCCCTCAGCCCCACTCACCTGCACATAACCCATGGAGGGCGGTCCGAAGTCGTTAAACAGGGGTCTGAAAGGGGCAGCGGCTCCCGGCACCGAGCCCGATGGCGATGGGACACTTCCGGCTGCAACATGCGCGAGTAAGAGGTCAGCGCGGGGCCAGGACGCCTCCTCCCAGCGTTCCAAGCCCCCGACCGGACTCGCCCGATTCCCTCCAAACGGACGCTTCACTTCAGGAGCTCAACTTCAGGGACAAACCCCTCCCCCTGCACTCCACCAACTAGCCCTTACGTGACCACGCCCACTTCACAGGCCAGCAAACTGAGGCTCAGCGAGGGTAGGCGGCAGGCCCAGTGTTGCAGAACTCAGGCCGTCTTCTCCACCACCCGGGCAGGTGAGCAGGGGTAGAGCTGGATCCTCACCTGTAGGGACCGGGGTGCCGGGCCCAGGGGTGCTGGAGCCGGGGGTACTGCTGGGGGCGGGGGCGATGGGTTTGTAGGACATCCCCAACTCTTGGGTGCGGCGGACGCCGGCCGGCCGCTCCTCCGGGGTTGGCTGCTTGGCCGCTCAGCCGCGCTCTGATTGGTAAACCGGCCGCACGCCCCTGGTAAATAGAGCTCAGGCCGGAAGGGTAGGCGGGCACGAACGCTCTCTCACTCCCTATTGGTGCGCGAAGATGTCACTCGAGCCTCCTCATTGGCCGAGACCGGCCCCAACAGGCCGCAACCGCTGCTGATTGGCCTCCGCCTTTCGGGGCTCGCACCTGTCTGCTCCGGATTGGGCGGTGGCTGACGCCCTACGCAATTGGCGAGTTCGCGGTCCAGGCCGGCGCGCTCTCAATCCGATTAGTCCCAAGGCCCGAGAGGCGGGGCCTCGGAAGCCGGGACCCCGGTCCGGTCCGCCGCGGTTCACGCGGAGGGGTCTTCCCGTGTGCGGGCGCCGCCCTAACGCTTCACTCGCGCTGTTTTGCACGTCGGCTGCGCTCCGCCTGGTCTCGGTCCGGCTGGGGCTGTTATTGCTGCCGCCGCCACCACCGAACGCGCCTTTCTACCGCTCTGGGTGCCGGAGGACGCAGGGCTTTGACGTTCGGAGCCCTGCGTCTCACCCCGTGCGCTTTTACGTCACCTTTCACCGGTTCAACACCCTTTCCCGGGTCCGCGCATGCGCCCTCCTCCTAAAGCCTCCGTTTGTTCCTATGGCAACGGGTCCCTCACCAACGCTACCACCGCGCCTGTGCTTCTCATGTGCCTAGTGCTCAGGTCCAGGCTGGGTCTCAGGTCCGAGGGCAACCTCAGAGACCCCTCAACCTGGCCCCCCCAGACCCCAAGCCGGTGCCTCATACTGACAATAGCAGGAACAGCTCACCTCCGTTGACTACTCACTGCAGGTCGGGCCCTGTCCCAAACTGGTGAGGAGAGCATCGACTGGAGTTAAATAAGCTGATGGTTCGAATCTCACACTGCCCCCACAGGCGATTTCCTCCTGGGCAAGTTACTCACCTCGGCATGCTTGGGCTTCCCTGTCTTTTAAGAGGCGGACGCTAATAAGAACTATCTTATAGGGCTGTCGTGTGGACAAATGAATATTCATTCTCCTCTTTTCCATCCATTTCTCTATCCAGACCCCTCCCCTGAAATCTCATTCCTCATAACCCTGTATCTTAGACTCTCCTCCAAACACTAACCCTTTCTCCCACGCTACTCTTCCTCAACACTTTTCTGGCCTCGCGTACCCCTCATGTGCCGGGTCGGTAGATTTTCCTCATCTGCAGGACATTCGTTCGTTCATTCATTCATTCATTCATTCATTCATTCAACAGACATTTTTCTGACTCTATCCTTCATCCCAGGCCTTGTGCTGGACACTGATGATATGGAAATGAACTGGCCATGGCTTCTGCCCTCAAGGAGCTCTTAGTCTCAAGGAGAGACGGACAGGGAAGGGAAGGCACACAGTATAGTAAGACAATGGGAGGTCTGTACAGGATGCATTGGAATTTGGAGGAAGGAGCCTGCTTGGTGACATCACAGAAGTCTTCCCAGAGGAAGTGGAATTCAATTGGCGAATGAGCAAATTAACTGTGATGTATCCATATAATGAACTATTATTCAGCAATAAAAGGAAATCATCTATCTCACCATGAAAAGACACGGAGCGGCATATTGCTAAGTGAAAGAAGCCAGTCTGAAAAAACCATGTACTGTATGATTCCAATTGTAGGGCGTTCTGGAAAAAAGGAAACTTCTACGTAAGGTAAACAAATGACTGGTTGCCAGGGGTGATGAGGGGTAGAATTAAGTAGCTGAACAAGGGATGTTTTAAATAATTGTTTAAAAGTTTATGTATTTTTTTGTAATGTTCTTTCACATTAAAAATTTATTTTTTAGTGTTTATTTTTGAGAGACAGAACACAAGCGGGGGAGGGGCAGAGAGGGAGGAAGACACAGAATTCAGAGCAGGCTCCAGGCTCTGAGCTGTCAGCACAGAGCCCGATGCAGGGCTCGAACCCACGAACCGTGAGATCATGACCTGGGCCGAAGTCGGACGCCCAGCCCACTGAGCCACCCAGGCACCCTGGACTTTTTTTTTTTTAAGTAGCCTTCAAACCCAGTTTGGAGCCCCATGCTGGGCTTGAACTCATGGCCCTGAGATCAAGACCAGAGCTGAGATCAACAGTGGGATGCTCAACTAACTGAGCCACCCAGTCACCCTGGGGATTTTTGGTTTTTTTTTTTTAAGGCATTGAGACTATTCTATATGATACCGTAATGGTGGATACAAGATATTAAGCATCTGTCGTAAAGAGTAAGCTTTATGCAAAATTTAAAAAATCATTTAGGAGGTCAGGGGATCCCAGGATGGAATGAAGAATGTGACAAAAGAGTCTAGCTGTTTTACAAATGTACGAGATGGCCTCACGGAAGGGACGGAGGACTAAGGTGCTAATCTGGAAATGAGTGGATCTGTGACAATGAAAGAGCACTGTCTCTAGTTGAAGTGGTTTCCTGTGGGGGTGTGGGTTGACAATTTTAAAACCACTGTGCACATACACGGGAATTGAAAAGTAAGTAAATGAACATGGATGATTTCTTATTTTTTGGACGAGAAGTTACTTGTAAGCAAGGGGAGGAGGCTAGCGTGATCCATGTGATAATGGGTCGGAAATTGGAGACATTAATATGAACTCGTGTTTAGCTCAATATAGATACAGTAGATTACATACAGAAATATTTAAAAATTGTATATACACAGATTAGTGTACATGCATATCTTCTCTATCAACTGAGAGAGCCTAGAAGCAATATAGCACCCAGATCTTGGTTTCTTTTTTTTTTTTTAAGTTTTTTTTTTAATGTTTATTTATTTTTAAGCAGAGAGGGGGTGGAGGGGCAGAGAGAGAGGGAGACACAGAATCCGAGGCAGGCTCCAGGCTGAGCTGTCAGCACAGAGCCTGATGCAGGGGTCAAACTCATAAACCACGAGATCATGACCTGAGCTAAAGTTGAATGCTTAACTGACTGAGCCATCCAGGCGCCCCCCAGATCTTGGTTTCTAATAGCATTCTCCAATAAAGTGAACCAGCGTTCCTTGGAGAAAATGGCTAATTCAAAGCCTGGGGCAGAAAACAGACAAGATGATCCTGGAGCATCTTATACTGCTAGAAAGTAAGAAAATGCTGAAAAACGAATGAACGAACGAACAAACAAGCCCAAACCCACCACACCCCCAAATCCCCAAACCCTCAATGCCACCATGATGGGGGTATTTCAAAGGGACACGGGAGCTAACTGAAAGGGCTCCCAATGGCCCAAACTGGAGGAATATGAACAACAAAACTTTTAAAAGTATTGGATTATAACTTGTATAAAATAAATATCTATGAGCCCTTACTGACATGCATTTCTATCTCTATTTCTATCTCTGTCTCATCTATCTCTACATCTATGTCTAATGGTTGAATACGTAAAGGGAGAGAAGAGACAAATCTGTATAGAAGAATTCCAAGTAATTTATGTAGAGACTCTGTCCTTAATGAGGTGGACTGTAACCCCTCACCCCTTAAGTGTGGGCTATGCAGAGTAACTTTCTTCCAGAGAGTGTAGTACGTAATGGGAGAAAGAAAAAGTAATTTTGTAGTATAGAAACCTGACAAACACTACCTCAAGCTAGGTGATCAAGGTCAACATCAACAGTGAAGTCATGTTGATGCTATGTACCCTTGATATGATGGGATGGGAAGGGCACTTTACCTCTGTGGTCTTCCTCCTACAAACCCATAACCCCGGACTAATCATGAGGGGAACATCAGACAAATCCCAACTTAGGGACTTTCTATAAGATACCTGACCAGTGTTCCTTAAAACTGTCAAGATCAGAAAAATGAAACAACACAAGGGAAGCCTGAGAAACTATCACAACCAAGAGGAGTTTGAGGAGGCATGATGCCTAATGTTATGTGGTGCCCAGGGTGGCATTCTGGACAGCAAAAGGATAGTCGGGGAAAATTATGAAATCTGCATAGAATATGGACTTTAGTTAATAATTACGTGTCAGTGTTTATTAATGGCAGCAAATGGACCATTCTAACATAAGATATTAATAGAGCATGATGGTTAATTTTAAGTGCCAACGCGCCTGGGTCACAAATGGCCAGATGTTTGGCTAAATGTGACTTTTGGTGTGACTGTGAGGGTGTTTCTGGATGCAATTAACATCCACTGAATTGGAGGACTGAGTAAAGCAGATGGCCCTTCCCATGATGGGTGGGTGGGCCTTATCCGATCAGTTGAAGACCCAAATGGAGCACCAAGGCTGAGTAAGAGGGAACTTGGTCTGCTTGAGGGTCGAGGCAGGACATCTGTCTTCGAAACTTTGCTGGTCCTCAGTCCTTGAGGCTCAGACTGGAACTGAAACACCAGTTCCCCTGGCTCTCCACCTTGCTGACTGTCAACCTTGGGACTGCTCAGCACCTATAATCACCTGAGCCAATTCCTTACAATAAATAGCTACACACACACACACACACACACACACACACACACACACACACACACGTCTTCTATTGGTTCTGTTCTCTGGAGAACCTTGCCCAAGCTGGCTGTGGTGGATTGTATACAGGAACTCCCTGTGGTATCTTCAAGATACTTCTGTAAGCCTAGAACTGTTCTAAATAAGTGGATGTAATATCTTGATGTGGGTGATGGTTCCCTGAGTGCACACACATATAAAAATTCATTGAGCTGTACATGTAAGGTTTATACACCTCATTGAATTCTATAGTCAGCAGTCAAACTATTTAAAGTGGACTTAATTGGGGTGCCTGGGTGGCTCAGTCGGCTGAGTGTCTGACTCTTGAT